AGCGTGGGCAAAGGCCGGGGGTCAGGCTTTAGCTGCTGAGGAAATGAGTGGAGTCTGGACAGCCGCGGGAAGGCCGAGGAAACCGGGAAAACAAGCCGGGTCCCGCGGCCTCTGCTGGCTGCCCGGGGCTTTAGAATGTCTGCTGCCAGAAACGAGGATTGTGGTCTGGCGAATGGGGGGTGTGCTCTCTGTGGTGAAGTGAAATCCCCGGGGAGGAGTGACAGTTCCTCCTGGAGTCTGGCCACAGAGGCCTTCCTGTGAGGAGCTTTGGTGGAAAAGGAGTCTGACCCACCGCCCTCCACACTTCCCCCTCCTCCTCCCCTCCTTCTCCTCCTCCTCCTCCCTCCTCCTTCCTCCTCCTTCCTTCCCTCCTTCTCCTCCTCCTCCTCCCTCCTCCTCCTTTTTGTTATTCTTTTTTTTGGGGTGGCTGGGGGGTGGGGTGTGCCGATACTCAGGCTTGAGCTCAGAGCCTTACACTCTTGCTTGGGCTTTTCCGCTCAAGGCTGGTGCTCTACCACTTGAGCCAAACCTCCGCTTCCAGCATTTTACTGGTTAATTGGAGATCAGAGTTTCATAGACTCTTTCGGCCTGGCTGGCTTTGAGCTGTGATCCTCATATCACAGCCCACTGAGTAGCTAGGATTACAGGCATGAACAACTAATGCTGGCCCACTTTCTTTTTAACTTTGGAAGGTAGCTTTCCCTGCCTTCCATTCCGATAGACATTAAGGCAGTGTCTCACGCCTGGAATCCTAGCTACCCAGCAGGCTGACAGCTGAGGACTATGGTTGGAAGCCAGCCCCAGCAGGAAAGTCTGGGAGAGTCTTTTTTTTTTTTTAAATTGTGAAAATACCATATAGAGGAGTTATAATTACATGGGCAAGATAAAGAGTACATTTCTTATCAAGCATTGTTGTTTGTTTCCCCTTCCCATCCCTTCCCATCTTCCACGCCCCTGCAAAAAAGTGCCTGGGAGATTCTTATCTCCAATTAAGGAGCACAATGTTGGAAATGGAGGTTTTGCTCAGGTGATAGAGTGCTAGCTTTGAACAAAAAAGCCGAGCAAGGGCATAAGGCCCTGATTTCAAACATCAGTGCACACACACACACACACACACACACACACACACACACATTGATTATATCTAATCTTAAGAATCTCTTTGTGCATCTGTTTTTCTTTTCAGACGACTAGCTGTAGAAATATTGGGTCATGGGCATGAGTAATGTAAAATTCAATAGATATTGACAGATTGCTCTCTGAGAAAGCTACAAAGAATTTACAATTCGGCAGGGTGGGGTAGCACATGCTTGTAATCCCAGCTCCTTAGTGGGTAGAGACAAGAAGATTTTGAGCTTACATAGTAAGTTCCAGGCTAGACTGAATGACACAGTGAGATTACACACACACACACCACAAAACACCCGTCAGGCCTTACACTTTTTTGTTTTTGGTCCAGTTGTGGGGCCTGAACTCTGGGCCTGGCCGCTGTCCCTCAGCTCTTCAGCTCAAGGCTAGCGATCTACCACTTAAGCCACAGCGCCACTTCCGGCTTTTTTCTGTTTGCTTATGTGGTGCTGAGGAATCGAACCCAGGGCCTCAGGCATGCAAGGCAAGCGCTCTACCACTGAGCCACCTTCCCAGCCCCCTTACACTTTTTTTGGCTGGGGGCCTGGCTCCAGGGGTAGAGTGTCTGTCTAGCAGATTTGAAGCCTGAGTTCAAATCCAGTATCATCAAAATAAAAAGAAGAGAACATTTTAGTTTCCAAATGTATGAAAGGTCTGTTCTCTCTCCCCCACAACGTGAGGCCTACCATCTACCTTTTCTATTTAAATCTATACCTATATGTATATATTTGTGGTGCTGGTGGAACCCAGAGCCTTACAAGGCAGGACAAGTACTCTCTGAAGGGCTTCTGCCCCAGACTCTTCAATCTTTGTCTAACTGATAAAAAGGTGAAAAGCACTATCTTGCCCTTCCTTCCTTCCTTCCTTCCTTCCTTCCTTCCTTCCTTCCTTCCTTCCTTCCTTCTTTCTTTCTTCCCCCCACCCCTCTTTGCACGGTGTGAACTCAGGGCCTCCACTCTGGCTTAGTCTTTTTTCTTTTGGTTGGTTGTGGGGCTTGAACTCTGGGCTTGAGCACTGTCCCTGCACTCTTCAGCTCAAGGCCAGCACTCTACCGCTTGAGCCACAGCACCACTTCCATTTTCTAGTGGTTTATTGGAGACAAGAGTCTCTTGGACTTTCCTGGCTGGGCTGGCTTTGAACCATGATCCTCAGATCTCAGCCTCCTGAGTAGCTAGGATGACAGGCGCGAGCCACTGGCATTTCTATTCTCTAAGTCAGGAGTGATTCTTGCTGGATTTTCATTTTTAGCTGAAAGAAATCATCCTGAAGTTTTTACCTATCAATCGTCATAAGCATTTCTTTTTGTTTCTTTCCTCCTGCAGGCTGAGGCTGGCAAGATGGCGTCGGTGTTTCGCAGTGAGGACATGTGTCTGTCGCAGCTGTTTCTGCAGGTGGAGGCTGCGTACTGCTGCGTGGCGGAGCTGGGAGAGCTTGGACTGGTTCAGTTCAAAGATGTAGGTCCTGCATTCTTTGCAGATAAGAAAAGGCGGGACCGGTGTAGATAAGGGAGCCAGATTTCCCCGTAGTCAACAGAATGCTTTCTCCTGGGAGTGGAGCCTGGAGCTCTAGCTTGGAGCAAAAAAGCCAAGCCAGAGTACAAGGTCCTGGGTTCAAGCCAGAGTACCAGCCTCCAAAACAAACAAGTAAAGAAAAATACTAATACAAAAAAGTCCCAGAGGTGAGGCTCAGCCTGTCAAGAAGGAGCCCCTGAGTTCAAATCCCAGAAACACCAAATAATAATAATAACAACAACAACAGCAGCAGCAGCCAGGCATAATGGCCTACACTTGTAATCCTAGCACATAAGAGACTGGAATTTCAGGCCAGCCTGTCTCAAAAACCAAAAAAAGCCAGGCGCTGATGGCTCACACCTGTCATCCTAGCTACTCAGGAGGCTGAGATCTGAGGATCACGGTTCAAAGGCAGCCTGGGCAGGAAAGTCCATGAGACTCTTTGTCTCTAATAAACTACTAGAAAACCAGAAGTGGGACTGTGGCTCAAGTGGTAGAGCACTAACCTTGAACTGAAAAGTTGAGGGACAGGCTCAGAGTTCAAGCCCCACAACTGACAAAACAAACATACAACAACCAAATAAAAATTCAAAAAGATAAAAAATAAACTAACCAGGGCTGGGCATGTGGCTTAATGGTGGAGTGCTTGCCTAGCATGCATGAAGCCCTGAGTTTGATTCCTCATACACAGCAAAAGCCAGAAGTGGTGCTGTGGCTCAAGTGGAGAGTGCTATGCTAGCCTTGAGCACAGAGTGGCTCAGGGACAGAGCTCAGGCCCTGAGTTCAAGCTCCAGGACTGGCAAAATATAAAAGTACACAGATAACAACTAACAAGGAAGACGTTGGCAGCTATTGCTACCTAATATATACCTTTCCCCCCTACTTTCTCCTAGTTAAATGTGAACGTAAACAGTTTCCAGAGGAAATTTGTGAATGAAGTCCGGCGGTGTGAGTCTCTGGAACGCATCCTGCGTAAGTTCCCTTTCCCCCGGGCTGTGGAATGGGGGAAATGGCTTCGCCCATGATTTGTGCGGCTTCGCAGGTGGGAGGAGGCTGCGGGCTCCGCTGCGCCCCTCACCGGCGTCGTTTCAACCCTCAGATTTTCTAGAAGATGAGATGAAAAATGAGATTGTCATCCAGTTGCCCGAGAAGTACCCGGAGACCCCTCTCCCTCGGGAGATGATCACCCTGGAGGTAAGCTCTCCATTTCCCATCTTCCCCTGGCTAAGGACAAAGCCACTCAGGAGTTCGGTCTGTACTCCAGGAAAGGCGAATGCCCAACTTGGGGGGCCATTGTGCCAGTCCAGGGCAGAAGTTTGGGGATGCTCACTGGGCTTAGAGTAGGGATTTCCTTCCTTCCTTCTTTCCTTCCTTCTTTCCCTCCCTCCCTCCCTCCCTCCCTTCTTTCTTTCTTTCTGTCTTTCTTCTGTCTCTCTTTCTGTGGTGGGGCTTGAACTCAGGGCCTGGGCACTGCCCTTGAGTTCTTCTGCTCAGAGCTAGTGCTCTATCACTTTGAGCCACAGCACCACTTCCAGTTTTTGAGTGGTGTATTAGAGATAAGAGCCTCATGGACTTTCCTGCCTGGGCTGGCTTTGAATCGTGATCTTCAGATCTCAGCCTTCTGGGTAGCTAGGATGACAGGCGTGAGCCACTGGCTTCTGGCAAGGATCAGGGATTTCTTTTGTGGACACATGAGTAGTGCCACTGCCTGGGCCACATGTGGCCTGATGAGTCCCCTGTCCCACCTCTCTTCTGCCGTTTTGGCTGTTTGTTTTAGGATAATAAGGAGGCCTGCCTGCTCCAGGGGCAGTTTGCCTTGTCACACGCTGCTCACCTTGCTGTTTCTCTCCTCTTAGAAACAGCGCTGGCAGAGGGCCGGCAGCAGAGACTAGCTCTGATCAGAGGACACGGATACAAAGTTGGGGGCCTTTCAGTTAATTCACAGAGCCCAGCAAAGGCACCCTTTAAGCTGCCTCTTAAACCTTTTTTTTTTTGGGGGGGGGAGGAAGGAATTAGTCATGGGGCATGAACTCCAGGCCTGGGCGCTGTCCCTGAGCTTTTCTGCTCAAGGCTAGAGCTCTACCACATTGAGCCACAGCACCACTTCTGGTTTTCTGGTGGTTAATTGGAGAGAAGAGTCTCATGGACTTTCCTGCCTGGGCTGGCTTTGAACCGTGATCCTCAGATCTTGGCCACCTGAGTAGCTAGGATTACCTGCGTGAGCCACCAGCACCTGGCTTTGCTTTTCAACTAGTGCCTTCTTCCATTCCTCCCTGCCTCCTCCCTCCCTGATTGAATGTAGGGCTTTCTACTCATAAACGCAAATTAGGTGTCTTCTACACGGAGGTCTCTCCTCGACCTGGCTTCTGCAGGTCAAGTGGGAGAAGACGTAGCTTTTAGCTGTCACGCTTGATGGGGCCTGTCCTCTCTCCTTCCCTTCCTGCCTCCTGGAGTCTGGAAGGGCTCCTCACTCAGATGGTCGGTAAAGAGGAGCAGACTTCTCCAAGCTGAGCGATTTCTCCAAGTGCAATTACTTTCTCCTTTTGAGTGAATCTATCCCCCTCCCCTGTCCCCCTCCCCCCCACGCCCAGTTTTCTTTTTTCTTTTTTTTGGTCCAGTAGTGGGGCCTGAACTCTGGGCCTGGGCGCTGTCCCTCAGCTCTTCAGCTCATGGCTAGCACTCTACCACTTGAGCCACAGCGCCACTTCCGGCTTTTTTCTTTTTGCTTATGTGGTGCTGAGGAATCGAACCCAGGGCCTCAGGCATGCAAGACAAGCGCTCTACCACTGAGCTACCTTCTCAGCCCAGCTTTATTTTTTCTTGAGGCAGGATCTCATTAGGTAGCGCAGGCTGGCCCAAACACAAGATCTTCCTGTTTCCTTCAGCTTCCTAAGTGTTGGGATTACAGGCATGAGCTACCATACCTGCTTGAAGCTAGCCTCACTGTCTTCAAATGCTGTGAAGCTACAGTAGTATAAATCTTGATATTCTACTACAGATAATGAACCCTCCGAGAAAATACTTGGATCTTGTCATGTTAAAAATCTTGCTATTTTGGAAAAATACTTCGGAGGCATTATGACTACAACTTCTCCTATATCACTTCCCATTTTAACCATTTTATTAGTCTAACCATTAGTCTATTTTATTAGTCTACTCCTTTATCACTTCCCATTTTAACCATTTTATTAGTCTACTCCCATCCTCGCCCCATCCTCCTCCCTCCTGCTGGGCTACCACTGGCCTTTCTCCTCTCCTTGTTCACACAGTGCTTCACACTTAGGGTGCCTCTCCCTATACCTCCGCTGCTTCCAAGTCCAGCCCATCTTCCAGCCTCAGTGAAGCTCTTCTTTGTCTCGGCAGCCCCTCCCACTGCGCTGAGCCTGAGCCCATTCCCAGCCCCGCCCCACCCCGCCCTGCTTCTGTGTGGCATTTCCTCCTTGTTCCTCTAATTCCTGACTCCCGAGTTTCTGGGTCTCAGGAATTCTGAGGAGCCCAAGGAGCTTTATTTGTGTGGATTATCATAACTGATATTTAGCGTATAAACAATCTAAACAGGTAGGCCATACACAACATGTACTGATTTAACTGAAGACAGGATCCCATTACACAGTAATATGGCGAACATGAAAATAAGTTTTTCTAAGACAAAAACTTTAGTGAGGAGAGTGGAAATGTTACAAATGCCCTTCCCTCCCCTCCTTCCCTTCCTCTTCCCTTCCTTTTCCTTCCCTCTCCACTTCTTCCCCTCCCCTTTTCTCTTCTTCTTCCCCTCTTCTCTTCAATTCCCTCTCTCCTCTTCTTCCCTCTCCTCCCTCTCTCGTTCTCTCTTCCTTCCCCTCTCCTCCCCTTCTCCCATTCCCTCTCCTCCCCTCCTTTTTGTGTTTTACTTAGGGGAAAGATGCCTTGGGGTCCCCACGAAGCTCCTTTCTCGTGCCCAGAGCACCTTCCATCTTCCCCGCGTGGAGATGGGTCAGGCTCAGCTACGGTCTCCCCATGCGCTGAGTTTGTGACTGGACCCATCAGCTGCTTTCTTTTCTTTTCTTTCTTTTTTTTGGGTCCAGTTGTGGGGCCTGAACTCTGGCCTGGGCGCTGTCCCTCAGCTCTTCAGCTCAAGGCTAGCACTCTACCACTTGAGCCACAGTACCACTTCCGGCTTTTTTCTTTTGGCTTATGTAGTGCTGAGGAATCGAACCCAGGGCCTCAGGCATGCAAGGCAAGCGCTCTGCCACTGAGCCACCTTCCCAGCCCAACCATCCAGCTACTTTCTCTTCCACCCAATGCCTGTTGAGGTTTTGGTATCAGCCTGGTTTATACATAGCAAATAGGAATGTGATAGCTCTTTCTGCCTGGCTTACCTTCTGTTTCCTTTCCCATATAGACTATTCTAGAAAAACTGGAAGGCGAGTTACAGGAAGCCAACCAGAACCAACAGGCATTGAAGAAGACCTTCCTAGAACTGACAGAACTGAAATACCTCCTGAAGAAAACCCAGGACTTCTTTGAGGTCTTTTGGTGGGGACTGGAGCCCAGGGTCTTTCCTGCTTGCTCACCTTTGAACACTGGCTGGTTTGGAATATGAGCAAAACACTGTCTCTGTACCCACAGTCAGGTTATGGGTGAGGGGCAAAGGATTCTGGGTAGTAAGGTGGTACTGGCTGATTTAGAGGAAAAACTATTACAGTGCTCATTAAAAAGTATGCATCCAAAATGTCTCTGACAGAAGGGAAGCTGGCACGTAGGGGCTGTTAGATTGGTCGGATTGAGGGTTGGGTAAGGAGACACTCTCGAAAGTTCTCATGTGGAAAGGAGTACTCTGCTTTTTCACTTCTGTTAATTATTTGTGTAAAATTAAAGCTTTATTAAAAACAGACAAAACCAGCCAGGCACTGGTGGCTCATGCCTGTAATCCTAGCTACTCCAGAGGCTGAGATCCAAGGATTGAAGTTCAAAGCCAGCCCAGTCAGGAAAGTCTGTGAGACTCTTATCTCCAAAGAACCACTAAAAAGCTAGAAATGGAACTGTGGCTCAATTGGTACAGCACCATCCTTGAGCAAAAAAGCCCAGGGTGAGCACAACTCAGGCCTTGTGACCCTGAGTTCAAGTCTCAGTACTACAAGAAGAATGAGAAGAAAAAAAAAAGAGAGAGAAAAGTGTAGGGCTGGGGTACTTTTTCCAGTTACTTTTACATCTAAGTGATGGTATTGGTGTTTTGGCTTTCAGACAGAAACTAATTTAGCTGAAGATTTCTTTACTGAAGACACTTCGGGTCTCTTGGAGTTAAGAACCATACCCACGTTCATGACTGGAAAGTTGGGGTGAGTGGAATTCTGTTTCCTAAGAGTTATGGCTGGATGGGGGTCCTCATTCTTAGTTAAATGTCTGGCAGGTGGAACTTTTCCCTATGTTGTTTTTAGAATACTGTTTAATAAAATGCATTTAGAATTTGAGGCTTTTTTTTTTCCAGGCTTGGGGCTTGAACTCAGGGTCTGGGCACTGTCTCTGAGCTTCTTTTGCTCAAGGCTAGCACTCTACCACTTGAGCTAAAGCACCACTTCTGGCTTTTTCTGTGTATGTGGTATTGAGGAATTGAACCCAGAGCTTCATACATTTTAGGCAAGCACTCTGCCACTAACCACATTCCCAGTGCTGTCCCTGACCTTTTGTGCTCAAGACTAGTGCTCTACCCCTTGAGCCACAGGTCTACTTCTGGCTTTTTGGTGGTTTATTGGAGAGGATAGTCTTGCAGACTTTCCTGCCCAGCCAGCTTTGAATTGTGATCCTCACATTTCAGCCTCCTTAGTAGCTAGGATTACAGGTGTGAGCCACCAGTGCCTAGCTAATGTTTTGAGTTTAAAAGCAATTAGAAATGGTATGGTTAGATAATCGAATTATAACCATGCAGCAGTAATGTAATGTGTGGCATTCAAAAGAATATTTCATTCCGTGTTTAAATGAGATTGATGGATTTTAAAAACTTCTTCACAGGTGCGAACCACTGCATTTAGCTTTTTAAAAGTATTTCTGGTGCTTCACACCTGTAATCCTAGATACTCAGGAGGCTGAGATCTGAGGATGGCAGTTCAAAGCCAACCTAAGCAAGAAAGTCCCTGGGACTCATCCCCAATAAACTACCAAAAAGCCAGAAGTGGAGCTTTGACTCAAGTGGTAGAGTGCTAGTCTTGAATAATAGAAATGCAGTGCCCAGGCCCCAAGTTCAAGCCCCAGGACTAGCACGAAAAACACACTAAAGTATTTCTAAATATTTCAAACATTGAGTTTGGAGTTGGTATTATTATTATATTATCTAAAAGGCATGCTTGCTAGGTAGGTACTCTAACCACTTGAGCCTTGGCCCAGCCAGAGTTTTTTAGTCAATAGCTCTTTTAGACCCTGCTCTTTGAGGTGCTAGACATTGAATGAAATGAAAAGAAAATACATTTATTTAAGTTATTTTTCCTAACTTATTTATTTAAAGCCTTTACATTATCTTAAAGGTAATACATTAAAAGTCATAAACTGCCCCAAACTGGTGGCTCACGCCTGTAATCCTAACTACTCCGGAAGCTGAGATCTAAGGATTGTGGTTCAAAGCCAGCTGGGGAAAAAAAGTTTGGGAGACTCTTATCTCTATTAACCAGAGAAAGACTGAGACTGGAGGTGCGGTTCGAGTGCTAGAGTGCATGTCTTGAGCAGGAAAAAGCCAGGCAAGGCCCTGTGTTCAGGTGTCAGTACCAGCACAGAAAAAAACCAGTAATAAATGAATGAAAATGACTGTTTTCAGGCCATATGAGGAGCTCAGGTCAGCAAATACCTAAATACCTGCATGAGGGGAAGAGTAGAAACGGATAGAAGTCTTCTATTCATAGCACATTTCCCTCTTTTTTCTTCTTTTTGTGCTGATTCTGGGGCTTGAACTCAGGGCCTGGGTGCTATCCCTGAGCTTTTTTGCTGAAGGTTAGTGCTCTACCACTTGAGCCACAGCTTCACTTCTTGGTGGTTAATTGGAGATGAGAATCGCCACATTTTCCTGACTAGGCTGGCTTCAAACCACAATCCTCGATCTCAGCCTCCTGAGTAGCTAGGGTTACAGGTGTGAGCCACTGGCACCTGCTGTGTTTCTGTATACACACATATATGTATAAATGAAACAAGGCCATTGTTGAACATTGGCTTCCACCAGCTACAATGCTATCATGAGTAATCTTTCCTATCAGAGAAAACAGAAAGTCCAAAGAGATTTGGGGTGGGTTGGGGCTGGGGTACCAGGTGGCTTTGTGGCCACTGTCCCAGAACTGCTTGTGGAGGGGGACAGATGCCTCAGCGTGTCCGTGCCCCATGCCCCGTGCCTCAGTGGTGTCTTCTCTTCTCCCTGCCAGGTTCACAGCTGGTGTGATAAACAGGGAGAGGATGGCTTCCTTTGAGAGGCTGCTCTGGCGAGTTTGCCGGGGAAATGTCTACCTGAAGTTCAGTGAGATGGACACGCCACTGGAGGATCCCATCACGGTGCGGGGAGGGGAGGGGAGGGCAGGGAGAGGAGGGGAAGGGAGGAGAGGGCAGGCCTGCAGGAAGCACGTTCTAGATTCCCATGGCCTGCCCCATGGGTGCCCACACACTCAGAGCATTGTGGCTTTACGCCAGGACATGAATACTGCCTCCCTCCTTCCCTCCCTCCCTCCCTCCCTCTCTCCCTCCTTCCCTCCCTCCCTCTCTCCTTCTCTCTCTCTCTTTCTTTGTTTCTTTCTTTCACTTTCTTTCTTTTTTTGCTTGCTTTCTCCCTGTCTCTCTGTCTCTCTCTCTCCAGGTCCATCCATTTATTTGCATCATTTCAAGCTATGTTGGATAAGAAAAATCATAGTTACATGAAAACTTACAATAAAAAGAATGCACAATACACTTATACCCAACAGGTGTGGCTTGAACTCTGGGCCTGGGCGCTGTCCCTGTGCTCTTCAGCTCAAGGTGAGCGCTCTACTGCTTGAACCACAGCACCACTTCTGGTTTTCTGGTGTTTTATTGAAGAGTCTCATGGGCTGGCTTTGAACTGCGATCCTCAGATCTCAGCCTCCTGAGTAGATAGGATTACAAGCTTGAGTCACCTATGCCCAGCTTAGGGTGTTCATTTTTAATTCTTGCACTTTTTTTCTCTTGCCTACAACCCTAGGTAGGAATAATGCTATATGTTTTTCTATGGGGATAGATATTATTGTTAGATACATGATGTTTTCTCCCCTAGCACTATGTATTTGTTGGTTATTTATTTATATATCATGCTGGTGAGGATCAAACTCAGGACCTAGAGCATCCTAGGCAAGCACTCTACCCCTGAGCCAGATCTGTAGCTGTGTACCCTTTATGTAGATTATTTTACATTTGACAGTGGTTCATCACTTTTTGTAATCATGGCTTGGTAGGTAATAGTCCTGTAGTAGAGAGTATGAAGTAAATGTCTAGAAAATGGTGACCAGGGACATTGGAGGTCAGAGTGGATCCCTGGTTCTAGGGGATCAGATGACCTCAGTGATTCAGCGAAGGACCAGAGTAGCTTCTTCTATGGGTCGAGGAGACTTTTCAAATAAGGTAAAGCAGCCAGCTGTAGCAATCCCACAGCATCTTTACCCCCTTCCTGAGCCGCGGCCGCAGAGATGGCTTATTCTGATATCATTTTCATGGATGCCTAATATTTGCTGAGTGGACTAAACATTCTTTATTTCTGGGCATTTCATTTGCATTTCCCTTCTGAATATAGATGCCATTAGGAGCATCTTAATGCATGTGGATTTTTCTTTTCTTTATTTTTTTTTTAAATTTTGAGGTATTAGAGTTCAAACTGAGTTTCTCACATTTGCTTAGTGCTCTGTTACTTGTCTCATGGACTTCCCTGCCTGGGCTGGCTTTGAATTGTGATCCTCAGCTCTCAGCCTCCTGAGTTGCTAGGCTTGACTCTTATCTCCAATTAACTACCAAAAAACCAGAAATGGTGCTGTGGCTCAAGTGGTAGAGTGCTAACCTTGAGCAAAAAGTTCAATGATTGTGCCTTGAGTTTAAGCCCTAGGACTGGTGTGTGTGCATGCACACACACACACACATTAGTTACTCCTTTATGTTGGTTAAATGTCAGACACAAATTCATCCCTTCAATGCAGAGTATGTGGGTTAATTCTGGTGGGCCAGGCTAGCTCCTTTCATGTGCAATAGCTCTAGTAATCTAGTTCCTCTTCTGGCTGTTCTTGTTTTTTAATCACATTCTTAGAATGAATGCTGAATTTAAAGCCCACCTGGGTCTATAGTAGTGGAACAAGTAGTGAGCCTATTCCTGTGAAGCTTAAACAACTGTTCTGATTTTCCAGAAAGAAGAAATTAAGAAGAATATATTCATCATATTTTACCAAGGAGAGCAGCTCAGGCAAAAAATCAAGAAGATCTGTGATGGGTAAGAGGGACCATTCATGGCTTGGTTACCGATGGTCGGGGTCGGAATTGGGGACAGAGGTGTACAGTGCAATACAGGACTGGGCCGCATGCATGCTTGTTAGGATCTCACTTGATAAGATTATGACTAAAAAGTGCAATTGACGTGTGTGTATGTGTGTGTGTGTGTGTGTGTGTGTGTGTGTGTGTGTGTGTGTGCGCGCGTGTGCCATTACTTGGGCTTGAACATAGAGTCTCTTGCTTAGTATTTCTGCTCAAGGCGGACACTCTACCACTTGAGCCACACCTCCACTTCTGGCATGTTGGTAGTTAATTGGAGAGAAGCATTTTATAGATTTGTCTGCCTAATCTGGCTTTGTACCACAATCCTTAGATCTCAACCTGAGAAGCTAGGATTATAGGCATGAGCCACTGGCACCCTACTAACATGGTATTTCAATTTATTCCTTGGTATATACCCCTTATCTATTGCAGAAGAGTAGGCATGCTGAGCTGGTGTGGAGGTGGAGCCCTGTAATCCCAGGTGTCCAGAGGTGAGGCAGGAGGATTATGAGTCTGAGGCTAGTCTTCAGTCTTTCTCCCCTCCCTCCCCGCTCCCCCCCTCAAAGGCACAGTGCGTAGCATGGCTATGCCCCTTCCAAGCAGACATTACTCAATTCAGAAGTGTACAGTATACAGGAGTAGATCCTAGAGGGAGAGAGATGCCAGGCCTGCGGAATTTATTCTGGAACAGCTCTCAGGCTTTATGGTTTGAATGCAGCTCATTCACACAAGAGAACCATGGCTTCAGTGTCTCGAGTGAGGGGTGTGACAGGAATCCTTGAGCGTGGGATTTATTTCCTCTTTGTGTGTGTGTGTGTGTGCCAGTACTGGGGCTTGATCTCAAGACCTGGGCGCTGTCCCTTAGCTTTTTCACTTAAGACTGGGGTTCTACCACTTAAACCATAGGTCTACTTCTGTTTTTTTTGCTGACTAATTGGAGATAAAAGTCTCACAGCTATTCCTGTCCAGGCTGGCTTTGAACTTTGATCCTCAGATCTCAGCCTCCTGTGTAGCTAGGATTACAGGTGTGAGCCACCTGCCCCTGTCTCGGGGACTCATTTTCTGACTGTCCACCAGGAGGGTGTCCTGGTGCGGGGCGGGGAGGAGGGCCCTCCATACCAAGTCAGCAAACGCTGGCCTTGAAGAAGAGCGACTGAGGCTGCCTTTCAGCAGTCAGTGTGGGTGTCCTTTGGATTGTGTTAAACACAGGTTTCGGGCCACCATCTACCCCTGTCCAGAGCCTGCAGCGGAGCGCAGGGAGATGCTGGCTGAAGTCAATGCGAGGCTGGAAGATTTAATCACCGTGAGTGAGGGGCTCAGGGGTCTGATGGGGTGCCTCTGCTTTTGCGGTCCTGTTTCCCGGGGTGCCGGCTGGAGGGTGTGCTGTGCTGATCTGGTCGCAGCTGCAGGAGATTGCACAATGAGAAAATAGTACTTAGTATGCTGAGGGTAAGTAATGCTTGCTCAGGATCTGACCACAGCCCTAGTCAGCCTCAGGAGTCGGCCCTAATTGGATCAAAGGGGCCCTTGATTGCCAGCCTTTGCATCTACATCCAGCTAACCAGTCTGACCAGTGTTCAGTTGTTTAAGCTAATTAACTACTTCCATAAAAACAGTCAGTCAAGTTTCACCAGCCCAACTTCTCTTCCCTGGCGATGGATGGTGTGTGTCACCAGCGAGGGTGACACTGAGCATGTCTGAGGTGAGAGCCTTCTCCAGTCAGAGTAGCTTTGCAAGTGGTCCCTGAAGCCAGCTGTTGGTATATTCTAGAACATTCTAGTCAACAGAACTTTCTGGTGCAGCCCACCAGTTCCGGTGTTGGAACTAGGAGCTCTGGGAACGTGGCTAGTGACGCAGAGGAACGGAACTTTGTTGTGTGATTTTAATTAAATGTGAATTTAAGTAGCTGCATGTGGCTACTGAAAAAGCTGGCATAACTTTAGGTCCTAAAGGAGGGAGCTCAGAAAGCAGATGCGTGTGTGTGTGTGTGTGTACACGCACGCGTGCACGTGCATGTGTGTATGTATTAAAAGCCTTGCCTAAAAAGACATGTAACTTCCCAGAAAAATCTGTTTTTTTTTTTTTTTTTTTGGGGGTCCAGTCATGGGGCCTGAACTCTGGGCCTGGGCGCTGTCCCTCAGCTCTTCAGCTCAAGGCTAGCACTCTACCACGCCACAGTGCCACTTCTGGCTGTTCTCTTTTTTGTTTATGTGGTACTGAGCAATCGAACCCAGGGCCTCAGGCATGCAAGGCAAGCGCTCTACCACTGAGCCACCTTCCCAGCCCCCGAAGTCTGTTTTTTTTTTTTGGCTGGGACCTAAACTCAAGTCCTTATGCTTTCTTCTTGGCTTTTTCAATCAAGACTTGTGCTCTACCACTTGAGCCACAACTCCACTATCAACTTTTTTTTTATGGTCCTAGGGCTTGAATTTAGGGCCTGGGTGCTGTCCCTGAACTTTGTTTGCTCAAAGCTAGCACTCCACCACTTTGAACCACAGCTCCACTTCCAGTTTTCTGGTGGTCCATTAGAGACAAGAGTCTCACAGGCTTCCCTGCCCAGGCTGGCTTTGAGCTGTGATCCTCAGATCTCAACCTCCTGAGTAGCTAGGATTACAGGTGTGAGCCATTGGTACCCAGCTCAGAAGATCTGTTTATTCCTTTCATCTTGTCCGTTCCTTTCTTCCCTGGGCAGTTGCTCTTGAGGTCCCCCCCCAATACTGCATGGTAGTGTTCAGGAAAATGTGCTGAAGGAGGAATCCTGAAAAGTCTGTTTATGTCTATGGTAAACAGAAACCCCTGTCCTGTTGTGGGATTTGGGGTGGTCTTAGTGAAGCCAGCACTAGCTTCTCTCCTGACCAGTCTGAGCCAAGGATGAGCACAAGGCCACCTGGGCTGGGCAGTCCTTTCCAGCACGGCTCTTACAGCTCAGATCGGGGAGCAGGTGGTGGCACAGGGCAGCTGGCGTCAGGTGCCAGGGGACTAACTGACCGTGAGGGACCCATTCTTAAAGTGTGGGGAATATTCCCCCTGCTTATTCCTGTTTGCAGAGAGAGTGGTTAGCAGGTGTTTCCTAATGAATATGAGCTGTTCTTGTAACGTGAGCTTTGTTCTAAGGAGTATGGCAGTGCCGCCAAGGTGAAGTGTCTCCTGGAAACCCTCAGGCCAGGTTGAACCATTTCTTTAGGGACCTTAAGAGACACACCAGTGACCCCCTGGCTGTCACGAATCTGACAGCTGCAGAGTATCGCTTGTGGTCTGTTATGGTGGCCACATGTATTTATTGGATCATTAAGCATAAAGACTAATTCCATTAAATAAACTTAACGAGAACCAAATCATCCATTCTTTCCTCCCTTCACTGACCCATTTGTCATTTATTGGCGAGGTTAAGTATGAAAAGCATTTTGATGGTTACACTGATGTATACCGTGAGGCAGCTGTAATAAATGACCACAAGCTGGATGTCTTTATTTCTCCTCCTCCTCCTCCTCCTCTTCCTCTTCCTCCTCTTCCTCTTCCTCCTCTTCCTCCTCTCCTCCTTCTTCCTTCTCTTCCTCTTCTTCCTCTTCCTCCTCCTCCCCCTCCCCCTCCTTCTCCCCTCCTTCCCCTTCTCCTCTCCTCCTCCTCCTCCTTCTTCTTCTTCATTTTTATTTTTATTTGGTTGAACTCAGTGCTAGGGTGCTGTCCCTGAGCTCTTTTGCTCAAGGTGAGCACTCTACCACTTTGAGACACAGCTCCACTTCTGGTTTTCTGGTGGTTTATTGGAGATAAGAGTCTCACAGATTTTCCTGCCTGGGCTGGCTTTGAACCACGATCCTCAGATTTCAGCCTCCTGTAGCTAGGATTACAGGCGTGAGCTACCGGTGCCTGGCTCTGGATGTCTTAACAAAAATGGATCCTTCACAATTCTGGAGTTATGTCCAAAGTCGGTGTGTCTTCTGGGCATGGTCAACAAAAATGGATCCTTCACAATTCTGGAGTTATGTCCAAAGTCGGTGTGTCTTCTGGGCACGGTCCCTCCATGAGTGTGCGGGAGGCTCCTCTTGCCCTCTTCCAGCCTGTGGGGTGCTGTGGTCCCGCTGTGTGTCCCTCTCCTCTCCGTTGTGGTGGCATACTGTTCTTCCTGAGAGCCTCCTCTCTAAATTTCTTTGAAAGACAGCAGCCCTGTTGGACCAGGATCCACTGTAAGCCAGTACAATCTCATCGTAACTTGATTACATCTGCAGAGACCCAAATAAGGTCCAAGTCACACGCATCAGAGTTCAGACTGCAACCCAATCTTTTGTGTGTGTGTGTGTGGGGGGGGCATGATTCAACGTGTCACCACAGAACCATGAGGAAGGGTGTCTGCTAGGGCTCTCCGCTCCGCTAGGGAGGGTAGCCAGCGGGGAGAGGTGAGGTCTGGGTGGGTAGGAGAAGCCCCACGCTGGAGGAGCCTCTGTGTCTGTCATCCCACGCGCGTCCTCGCGTTTCTGTGCCTTGTCTTTCTTTCAGGTCATCACGCAAACGGAATCTCACCGTCAGCGGCTGCTGCAGGAAGCAGCTGCCAGCTGGCACGCCTGGCTCACCAAGGTGCAGAAGATGAAGGCCATTTACCACATTCTCAACATGTGCAACATCGACGTCACCCAGCAGTGCGTCATCGCCGAGATCTGGTTCCCAGTGGCCGACACAGGGCGCATCAAGAGGGCCTTGGAGCAGGGCATGGTGAGTGTGAGTGTGTGTGTGTGCGCGTGCGCATGTGTGTGCTATGTGTGCATGTGTGTGTGCACGCGCGTGTGCGTGTGCATCTTTATGGGCTCCCCATGGTGGCTGGCCTTGTGAACTTCTCAAGGACTTGGGTCACATTTTTCTCCATCCTTGTACCTTTGTTATCACTGCTAAGCACGAACTATGCTCAGTATTTATTTATTTATGTATTTATTTTGTGTGCGTGTGTGTGCGCGCACACCCACACACACCCGCACACCCATACTGGGGCTTGAACTCAGGGCCTGAACACTGTCTCTTAGCTTTTTCACTCAAGGCTGGCACTCTGCACTTGAGCCACAGCTCCACTTCTGTTTTTATTTTATTTTTTTGCTGGTTAACTGGAGGTAAGAGTCTCAAGGATGCTGGGCACCAGTGGCTCACGCCTGTAATCCTAACTACTCAGGAGGCTGAGATCTGAGGATCACGGTTCAAAGCCAACCTTGGGCAGGAAAGTCCATGAGACTCTTACCTCTAAGTAACCACCAGAAAACTGGAAGTGGCGCTGTGGCTCAAGTGGTAGAGCGCTTGCCTTGAGCTGAAGAGCTCAGGGATAACACCCAGGCCCAGAGTTCAAGCCCCACTACCAACAACAACAACAAAAGAGTCCCAAGGACTTTCCTACCCAGGCTGGCTTCAAACTATTATCCTCAGATCACAGCTTCCTGAGTAGCTAGGATGACAAACATGAGCCGCTGGTGCCCGACCAGTGTTTGGTCCTTATAGCTCTCTGTGTTTGTCTCCCGGATATTGACTGGGCATCAGGAGCAGGTGTAGGCGCCCCTGGGCAGGCTGTAGAAGCGGGTGGACAGCGTACGTGTTTGGAGGCTGTGATTTCAGGTCAAGCGAGGGTGGAGGGAAATCGGACAGGAAAGTGATGATAGATGGCGTAGCTAATCACCTGTGCACCCGTGGATTGCACCCGTGGATCGCACCCCGTGGGTGTCATGCACATAGGACAGGGACAGAGGGGACCGACAGTGTGAGGGTCTCAGACACGCAGGGCCCAGGTAGGAGGCAGCGCAAGCCTGGCAGGGCCGCGTGGCAGGGGCGCTTGTGGGCAGAGGGAGCCCAGGGGCCTTGGGGAGGTGGGTGTGAGAATAAGAGCGTGGGCGATCTTTGCCTCTTGCTGACGGACGTGGGGAGCGTGTTTGAATCATTTGTGGGATGTTGAGGAGAGGGAGCCTGCTGGGTTGAGGATCAGGGCGGCACCTGTAGCGGGTGGGAGCCATGCTTAGTCCTTTTGGTACAGAAGAGGAAATGGAGGCCCAGGGAGTTCACCTGCTACCTGGCTCCAGGCACAATGCTGAAGGCAGGATTTGAATACAGGACATGTTCCTCCTAACCCCCGGTACACTCCTGTGTCCCCACCCACAGCCCCCATATTACCCAGATGGGATATTGGGAAGAGGCACGTCTGCTTGGACGGGGCAGGCAGGGGGGCTTCCTGGAGGAGGCAGGGCATGAGCGGGACCATGCGAAGCTTGGGGGAGTGGGGGAGGGGAGGTGGTGCTTTACTGCGGGGGTTAGAGCGTGACCCCCCTCCCACTCCCCATAATCATGAAGGGGCCAGACTTACTCCCAGGCTACTTAAGACAGTTTCTGCAGGGGTGGAAGGGAGTCGAAGGCCCCGGATGGGGGACCTGGAGGAAGGGTAAGCGGCAAAGGAGAGGGTGCGGTGGCTTCTGCCAGGCACACGCCGCTTGCAGAGGGTGCGCACACACAGAGCAAGGAGGTGAGCAGGCCTTGCCAGGCTGATCTCATAACAGGGCGAGAGAGTCCTGACCTTGCGGTGTGACCTTGGGCGGGGAGCCATAGCCCACGTCAGGCTCTCTGCTGGTTAACTGGAGTGCAGAGTCTCAAGGTCTTTCCTGCCTAGGATAGCTTTGAACCCCAGTCCTCACATCTCAGCCTCCTGAGTACGTAGGGATTACAGGCGTGAGCCACCCAGTCCAAGATCTCTTTTACATCTAAGGTGTACTAGAGGATGTAGAGCCAGAATCCTAGGTCTAGAAAAGTCTGAGAACAAATGGGGGTGAGGAGAGGGAAAGAGAGACAGAGGGAGCGAGAGGGAGGGGGAGGAAGGGAAAAGGGGGGGGAACTGCTCTCTATCAAGGTCAAGAGGTGTCCCAAGCCTGGTGCCAGTGGCTCACACCTGTAATTCTAGCTACTAAAGAGGCTGAGATCTGAGGATGGCGGTTCAAAGCCAGCCTGGGCAGCAAAGTCCCTGTGACACTCTTATCTCCAATTAACCACTTAGAAACTGGAAGTGGCGCTGTGGCTCAAGTGGCAGAGCGCTAGCCTTGAGCAGACAGAGCTGAGGGACAGCGCCCAGGCCCAGAGTTCAAGCCCCGTCACCACCACCACCACCACCACCACTACCAACAACGAAGGGATGTCCCCCGTTCATGTGACAGGTCTGCCACCTCTTCTTTCTGCAGGAACGTAGCGGCTCCTCCATGGTCCCCATCTTGACTGAAGTGGAATCTAAAACAGCTCCCCCCACCTTTAACAGGACCAATAAATTCACAGCCGGCTTCCAGAACATTGTGGATGCATATGGCGTGGGCAGCTACCGGGAGATCAATCCAGGTAAGATCGGATACATTGCACGGTGGGCGAATGGGAAAATTCAGTACGGTGGCCCTCTTGGGGCAGGGGAGGCGAAGTGCTTAAAAACCGACATTCTTGAAGTCGATGTTGGTTTTCTAATGTCCTGCCCTTCATACATTCCAGCTGCTAAAAGATGTGTTGCCTTCTGCCTTACCTTTGTTGTTGACGATGTAGCTCAGCCTGGTCTCAGACTCACAATCCTTCTGCCTCTGCTGGAGGCTGACGTGCCTGTGAGTGACTGCTGGCGGTGTGTGGTGTGTGGTGTGTGGTGTGTGGTACGTGGTGTGTGGTGTGTGGTGCGTGGTGCGTGGTGCGTGGCGCGTGGTGTGTGGTGTGTGGTGCGTGGTGCGTGGCGCGTGGCGCGTGGTGTGTGGTGTGTGGTGCGTGGTGCGTGGTGCGTGGTGTGTGGTGTGTGGTGTGTGGTGCGTGGTGCGTGGTGCGTGG